GCTCTAAATATAATTTTAATGTGTTTCCAATTCCCCATACCTTTGAGCTTTCTTGTCCCTACTTAGCGCTAACACCAAATAGGCTGACTAAAAGTTAAGGACGTTGATGATGGCCTCTTTACGAACCGGCAAAAAGGTTTGAGGAACTGCCTTTAAAGCGTCCCATGATCACCCCATGATAAATTCAATGCACTAAAAATGGCAAGTCTATTTGAAGTCATGAAGATAGGGGTAAATTTGCCTTAGTCCCCAAGTCCCTCAAATATTTTCAATAGCGATACGAAGGAAAACATTTGGATTGGCTAAAGCTAGCGTTGATAATCAGCTTTGTGGAGTTGTTACTATAGTTTCCTACTGATCGCTATCGTCTCCTCTTTGCTCATTGATAAGCGTTTTGTCAAAGATAACAAGCAGTTCCATTACTGCCATCGCATGCTGTATCATCTTTCATTCATGTCACAGGGCCAAGGAGGAGATGGAGTGTCCGGGCAGCTATATGGTTTGCACCTACCTAAATCGCATGCAATCAACTGGTTTTCTCGAAAGTTGCGGTTATTACTTGTTGAGCTGTCCGAACCCGAGAGTAAACACTAAAATGCGCCAAAAGTGGGTTAAGAGCCAGGATTTCAACCCCTTATGGGAGACACAAGGCTGTTGTTTCACCGCAGTAGTCAAAGGCCAAGTCTAAACTGGGACGCGATGGCATGAGCAACGGCAATGTCGTTGGACGTGCAGCGATGCCAGAACAGTGTCCGCATGTGCACTGAGGCATGACACAAGTAAGCGGTAATGAGACCAGCGCTGCTGCAGGCTGCTCCATGAGTACGCGTCGAACATAACAAGGGGTTGGCAGAATGCGCTCTACTACTTCCTACTTTTTAACTGGGCTTAACACTTCATTCACCCTGGAAGTAGCAGCATCTCCTCTTCTTTTGCACGTAAACAAGCCAGCATTAATAGTCAAGGTCATACATTCCAGATAAGGTGTTAAACGTTCCATGTGGAAATAAAACCCCACCAAAACAAAAGCCTCCTTCAACAAAGCAAAAAAAATACTGACTTAGCATAAACAAAGATTAGGCAGAAATTGCGTGGAACTTGTTCGATTTTGGAGATCGGACGGTTCCAAATTAGACAGCAATCAATCGTTATCGAGATTGAGAGGCAAATGTGCGCAACCGACAAAAAAATAGTATCATCTGGAAGGAACGAGGTCTTCTCTAAACATTTCACGCGGAAACTATTAGAAACAAATTAACGCTGAGAAATTAGCGATTGGTGTAAGAGTAAAGTGGCTAAGCAGTGAAAGGACATCCCCGAATGCGAATGAAATTCGTATTCTCAAAAGCCCATTGCTAATGGTGCTGCGACGAGAAGGCTTTATGAATCCATGCTTAAAGGGACCATCTGTCAAAATACCCATGAGGCAGAATGAGCTTCCCGTCAATCTAAAAACAAGGCTAAAACCCACCCAGAGCATTAGCCTTGTTTTGCTAAAACGAAGATTTGACGAAACTCGCTGCCGTCTGCAAAGTGACAGGAAGTGCAGTGAACGCTAAAATTTAGTACGTACATTCTCTGACGAGTTTACTGGGATCTGTCACTTTTTCTTTTGGCTTACTAAGTTCACTCGTTGCTTTTAATTTGCCTGAAGTATTCATTTTTCCCCACCTTCAAACCTTAAAGGGAAATTAATCACATAAACTTAAATTGATTGCGCAAGGTTGGATAAATCAGAGACACTAATTAAGGCAACTTAGCCAAAGAAACGGTTGTCAGTATTCCTGTGCAATGAAGGTCACTGATTTGAACTTATAAACGCGCAATCAATTTTGTGGTAATTAAAGTCCATTTTTTGTAGACGTGGCACAATGACCGTCATTCATGTGCCTTATTACATCCGTTGATTTCAATTTTATTAAGCCTAACTTTATCATGTACATTTGTTATTAGCAATTAAAAAAGGGCCTTTTAGAGTATTTGTTAACGTAAGTTTGAGTTTCAAAAAAGGGTCTAGGCTGTTTGGCTTTTGCTCCAACTCCTAGGCACACTTAAGAAGGGTAATAAAATTAGTGACTGCTTTATGACAATCTTGCGTTGGACCTGTCGAATGTCATCACAGAAGAAGGCTCACACTCTGACATTTTAAACGGCCAAGTTGGTTAAATATGCAGCAGAGGAAGTGGCTTACTTCTAA